TACTCATAGCGTCGCTAATGTAAACGAAACAGAGCGTTTTAAGGAAAAGTTAGATAATATTTTAGATCAATCTACTCAAAACTTCCTCAAATCGAAAAACTTATAATTTGACCGACGTGCTGGTAAAAGAAGTTCAAATATTTTGTAATGGAGGAGATAGGGGTCATTATCTTCAAATGGATTATGTCTACCTTTTGACAGTTCAGCCCAAAAGTGTTGAAGCCGAAATATGTTTTTCATCAGTAGGTTTTGAATGTAAAAACTGCAGGTAAAGCTTAGAAGACTCCGCTTTGAATGCTTTGCTGCTCTTACAAAAACATTTTAAGTGCAATAATAACAACACCGGCAAAAAAAGGGGTGTGTGTTTTTATCCAGACCCAACTACCAACATGTACCGTTTGACTCGGACACCCTCAAAATTTCTAGTAAATTGCAAAAAAAGATGCCAAAAAATTCTCCATTCGCCATTTCTTTATAGAGTAGAATAAACATGTTTAGAGAAATTGTTTTTGTATATTTTTGTTTTATGTTTTTTTTATTAATCGTCACTTTCAAAAGTACCTGGTATTTACATTATTATTTGTGATGTATACGTTCCTCAATCACATGGTTTTTTAAATACAATTAGAAAAATGTTTTACTTTAAAATTTGTCTGATTTAATAAATATCGCTAGCGTAGAGTGCAAAGTTGCTAAGTCCCAATTTAAAAATTGTACAGGAGAGGAAAAAACTTCCTATAGCCATTTTCTTCAAGTATTTCGCAAAACTTTGAACACAACATTTGGCCTGTTTAGAGCAATGCAAAAGTCCATACGAATCGGAGGGATTCGATATTTGTTAAAAGATTTCGAACTTTTTTGGCCTTATCGAATTTTCGGAGCTTTTTTTGGCCTAAGCAAATTTTCCTTTCATTGAATATAAACGAGAAAACATAAAACAAGGACGTTTACCCTTTTCGAAACGATGCAATTTTAATTTATATAGCCTCCTATATCAAAATATGATTTTTCATTAAAAGTGAAGTTAGCAACTTTTCACTCTAAGCTAGCGATATATGAGTTTTACAATCAGTTTATCGTAAATTTTAAATAGTTTTATTTAATGGTATGTTTAAATGCTTTCAGATATTGAAATTTTACTCATATTCATAAAATTTATGACTCAATTTGAATCCCGGGATAAATCCCGGGATTACCTAAAAAATATCCCGAAATCCTGGGATCCCAATTTTCCNTAGAATAAACATGTTTAGAGAAATTGTTTTTGTATATTTTTGTTTTATGTTTTTTTTATTAATCGTCACTTTCAAAAGTACCTGGTATTTACATTATTATTTGGATGTTNCGGGATTACCTAAAAAATATCCCGAAATCCTGGGATCCCAATTTTCCTGATATTTTGGCATCCCTAAATTCCATGCTCCGTACAACGCTCGAGTATAACCTACCTGGATAGGTATTCTATCGGAATCTGCAATCAAATTTAAATTCTTGCAAAAACTCGATGTTTAACACCTTACTAAATATATCTCAACATAAGTTTTGGAAAACATATTACAAAAAATTTTTATTCTCACTAAATAAACCATATCGTCATAAAGAAAAATATTTTAAAAGTAGTTCTTGAAAAACCCCCATATTTTCGAACCACGTTTTTATAGAGAATTAAACAAGAATTACGATGGTATAATTTTAGATCCCTAATTTACGGGTCTTCACTATGCAAATCAACTTCAAAAAGTTCAACTGATAATAGCTTTAGGACAATCTTATTATATATCAAGCCCGTTTCTTATCTTTAAAATGACATTAAGATGAAGTCTCTGCGATCAGCAGAACCCGAGATATAACGATTTGAAGAAGTACATGATTAGTCCGAATCACGAAAAAAGGCAAACTTTGACAAATCATATCTCCGAAGAAAAAAAGAAGAAAAAAAATCCTCGAACACGTGTTAGCTTATTTCACGTATAGAACCCACAATCTGAAGCGAATCGGAGACATGAAATAATTTCTTGTACGAAATCCGTCTGACTTAAAAAGAATGGCTTATATCCTAATGCTAACTAATTCCTACTGGGCTAACTATTACATAAATATTTATAGTATCTCCTACTTTAAATTTAGTTTTCTACACTTAATCTAACGCTTTTCGAATACTCCCTTAACAGTGATTCCTACGTAATCCTATATATTCGTACGCATTTATATCTATACTTATTACCTACGTCCACATTAATCCTGACTCAATATTTTCAATAATGCAAAACTCCGCTTTAGATTTTAATAATTCACAAAAAACGTGATAAGAATGTATCTGCCTACCTATCTACCGGGTATTGGAATATGTATATGTTTGTACGTATGTATATATTAAATATGTATGTATAGCTATAATAACAAGAGAAATCAATTCAAAGCGTACTCACCTTGGTCTCCGGCGATGATCGTACCAGCCCAAGAATGATAGAATACAAGATTGCGCATAAAGGAAACAATAACACTGTGGAACAAATTCAGGTTAGCAAAAGTTAGGTCGATTCTGAGAGTGAGGGGTGAAAATAGAGACTAAATTAGAAGACCCGTATCGCGGCGTTTGTTTATGTTAGTTCGANTCTGAGAGTGAGGGGTGAAAATAGAGGCTAAATTAGAAGACCCGTATCGCGGCGTTTGTTTATGTTAGTTCGAATTTTTTTTTAATCCACCTTCGAACTTTGCAGTCAAATGCCGATTTTCAGAATATTGTTTATATGTTTTTTTGGCTATAACTCGTCGACTAATTGATATTTTTTCAATCAGTTAAAGCCAAATTATTGCTAGAGACCTGTGCAACAATTAAAATAAAAAAAAAAATTATTTAGAAAATTGTTGTAGTGCTTATAAAGCAAAATGTTGGAATTTTTTTCATGCTTTTTGAATATATTTTCCACAAAACTAAGTGTTTTTTGCTTTCTGTTTGATCTATAATATGCTTCTCAGTTTCTTCAATAAAATTCATTAAAAAAGAAAACAGTCATATTACAAAACTAGCGTTTTCCAGCTTAATATTAATTTATTTCTCATTTCTTATGTACCAATTTTTTCAGTGTTGGTTTTGAAGAAACATTGAAAAAGAAATTATAAAAATATGGAAAAAAATATAATTTTGAAATGTTAGTTATGAAAAGTTTTAAGTAAAAAAATTAAATAAATTAAATTAATGATTTGGCCAGTTGCCGTTTAGCAGGCGGCTGTGGATCAACATCACTGCTCTCTCTAATATCTTGGTCATCGTCATCATCATCAGAAAGGTCGATAATTTCGTCCAACAGATATTCTGGAATTTCATCTTTGTCTTCCCCTTCTTCCTCTTTTTCCTCGTCTTCCTCTTCTTCAAAGGTGTTTTTATACCACCAACAAATTTCAGCGAGTATTGCATCTGGAGATTTCTTTCCTCTGTACCTGAAACGAAAATAGTTTTCAATCGTTAACATGTTTAAATTGTGCACTCTGACAAAGATATTAGAAAAATCTAGGAATTCAAAATATGCACACTCTATAGTTACCTTATTTCAAATGGAAGCGCAGTTTGGTGATAACGTTCGCCTTGCTCATCAGATTCAGTTGGCAACTGTTGAGCGAGTTGATCAAGATGCTGATGCAAGAGATGGATTTTGTACGACATATTAACCCCAATTTCATCGAAAGCTGCCAACATGTTTGCAACAGATTGCCTGTAGTTGTCTTTGCGTTCTTTACCCAAAAGTCCTTTAATGACTGCTTTCAATGCGATCCATGCATTTAATTCTCGGTCTGTCAGAACTTGGTCAAAACCTTGACGACTCATTAGTTTCCGTATGTCGGGACCATTAACAACCCCTTACTTAATTTTGGCGTTACTTAGTCTTGGGAAAATGTCTTTTAAGCGGTTGAATACTGCTGGTCTTTTTGCGATACATTTCAAAAAATTTTTAGCAATGCCAAGTTTAATGTGGAGCAACGGCAACAAAATTTTCATTTCAGGAACAAGACTTTCGTGTAGCCTATTGTCTTTAGGCCATTTCCGTCCAATGCGACTATTCCAGTTATGCTGTTTGTACTGGTTTCTTCCTTTAATACCTTCTCCGTATCGTGAATCCCAATCGCACAAAAAACACGGATATTTTGGACGGCCAGATGCTGTTAAGCCTGTAATCAATGAAACTATTTTGAGGTCGCAGCAAATGCGCCACTGGTGTTCGTTATATTTGACTACTTCCAGAATGTGTTTCAAATTATCGAAATTTTCCCTAGTGTCAGTGCTATACGCAATTGGAACAGAAGGCATTTTATTCGTCTTGTGCAAAAGCACAACTTTTAAGCTGATTAGTGAACTATCGATGAATAAACGCCAATCACCTTTTTTATAGGTTAACCCTAACGTCTCCATTAACTTTTCGATATCATTGCAATAAGCGAAATTTTTTGCATCATTCACATTGAAGAACTTTTCTAACTCTTTTTGGCGTTTTCGATATGCTGTTACTTTGGTACCTTTCGCCAGCAAATTATTTCCTTTCAAAAATGAAGCCAGTTGTTCTGATTTTTTCTGAGTCAAACACAAAATTGCAACAATTGCATCCAATTGCTTTTGTGTGACTAGGATTTGGTCCTTTTATGTTTCATCGGATATAGCAGCGGCGGTTGTAGTACTGATATCTGTTTGAAGAACAATACTTCGGTATGTTGGTACTGGAACGAATTCTGAGTGCAGTAATGGTAATTGGACACTTGGCACTGCTACATAAGTTTTATTCTTTGCTTTCCTTCTATTCAAAGTTTAATATCGGAACCGAGATCATGTAGTTAATTTTTTGGTTTTCACACTCTTTTGAAACATAAATTCTATGATTTTTACTGCAGACAAGTTGTTGCCAAAACAGAGCAGAAATCTTCTATCTTGTGCGCGGCGCGGCGTAGTGTGACACACCAGGCTGGGAAATAAAGTCAATTGACCTTATTTCCGTTGATCTTATTACCTGTCACATCATCCCTTTGGTGCCTGGTTTTGGCGCTATATCGAATGGAGGAGGGAGAACCAGCGGTTCACCTACCAGAAAATAGCCCAACGTTAGGACTTGCACGTCCAAAGGATCATCGTTCAATGGATATAGCGGGCACGAGTTCAAGATTTCTTCTATCTGCGCTAGGAGCGTTCGAAATTGCTCATATTCCAGACACTTTTGCCCTATAACACGGGTAAAATAGTGTTTCTTTGACTTTAGGGCCGCATCGTAAATACCACTTTGATGTGGTGTAGCTGGGGTCATAAAATGCCATTCAGTCCCCTTCAGCATTAGCTCAGAAAATATATCACTTGCTTTCCAGCGCTCATAAGCTCTAGCAATACCTTTCGAAGCACCAAAAAATGATGTTCTATTGTCGCTGTACATCTTTTCACGCCTACCACGCCTTGCAATGAATCGATCATAACAAGCTATAAAGGCTCTAACCCTTAGCTCAGTGATCATATCAATATACACATCTCTTGTTTTTAAGCACACAAATATGGCGACCCCCATTTTACTACCAATCTCTATTCTTATCTAGCTGACTGATTTCGCGCATAATCCACACCTGAGTGTAGAAATGGTTTCCCCACTTGCAACCGTTCTGATGGCAAGTGAGCCATTAGCTGCTCACCTATCCTCTTGGCGAATCTAGCACATGTGACGCACTTATGCGTGAATTTCCTAAGCTCGATCCGTAAGCGCGGCATCCAAAAACGATGTCGAATGTATTGCATCAGCACCTGAACAACACCATGCTTAATGGGCTGATGCGCTTTACTTGTAACTAACTGACTCAAGCTGGAACCAGATAGAATAATTACCGGGTGCTTTATTTCATAATTTCTGATCTTCCAATTCCACCACCTACGCGTAGAAGGCCAATTCTATCTAACGTTGGCTTGAATGATTCAGTTTTGCCTCCATCAGGCATCGGCGCGTCCCTGGACAATTCACGAATCTCTTTTAGATATGCCAGCTCTTGCCTTTATTTAATCTCAGCTCTAAAGCCCTAGACCTTTCTTCAGCAGTAGGCATCGGAATATGTAACCCTTCACGGCTTGACTTTCGAAGCCGCTTATTACCCTTTGTTTTCAGCAGACGCACAAATCTTAGCACTTGTTACATGATTCCAATGAATCTATCTAATGAACTAGCACATTGTACCAGCGGAACTTCTTCCGCATTACCATTGCTCTTAATGATCCATGTTGGTGTTGTTGCAACTGAAATATGCACTTTCAGCTCCGGCAATGCTCCTTCAGGTATATGCTCATCAAAGTTGCCAGATGTGGGGATTTCGCCCAATTTTGGGGATTTATGAAACCATTTGGGGATAGATTTTTTTAGTTTGGGGATGTGAGGATTTTATGGGGATTTTTGTTTGGTTTAAAACTTTGATATTGAAACTAAAACATATATTTTTCTGGCTGCCCGCAAAAATTTCTCGAATAAAGATTTTATTTGTACATCCTTTTTGCGCGATATGTTTGTAAGGTTTTCCTAACGCCGTCAAAGCATTATTCGTCGCAGATGTCTGCCTTGATTGGCTTTCACACAACTTTCGCAACAACCTCCACGAAAGAAATTCTAAAAAATAAACGCTATTCTTTAGCAATTTGAGACTTCTACTTTAATACACTAAAAAAGTTTGATTACTTTTTGATTTCAAACTTTTAGTTATGCTGTTTCTGTTGTAGATTGAATTATATTTAAAAGAAAATTAGTAAAAATGAATAAATAAACATATGTTGTAAAAATATATAACTTTGAATTTTGGTACTAAATCTCTGACCATATTTGTACGTATAACCAAATGACCTCATGCATATATGTACATATGTACGTATGTACATATACATATAACGGGTGATTTTTTTGAGGTTAGGATTTTCATGCATTAGTATTTGACAGATCACGTGGGATTTCAGACATGGTGTCAAAGAGAAAGATGCTCAGTATGCTTTGACATTTC